ATTCGTTTTGGCATCGTTGGATAGAGAATTGAAAAGTCGATTCAGTCGTAACAACGTGAGTGAGGAAATTCGAGTAGTTTTGACCCAGAAAACGAAATTTGAATATCAGACACTTAGGTACAAGATTATGTCAAAATTTCATGTTTTCCGTCCGGTTTTTGCCCATTTCCCGGAGGCAAAATGCGCACGAACGCTCATTTGTACATCATTCTAGACAGAAATAAATGGCCTTTTTAGAAAGTGCACCATCGATAAGCAAATGTTGGCAGTTTTCTCAAAAACTGCTTGAATTCAAGAAGTTTTAGATTTGCGTGGTTTTTTTTGAGTTGCAAAATCCACTTGAACATGACGCTGCTTTTTTCGAAGTTTCTCAAGAACTATTCGAGGCAGAGAATTCGTTTTGGCATCGTTGGATAGAAAATTGAATGGGGGGGGAGAGGGTCATGACCCCCATGACCCCCCCCCTGGATCCGCTCTTGGATTTGATACAACGATCCCTATTGAAAATATAAAAACTGGTTAAATAAGGGTGTAATTAATTTGCTAACACGACAATAAAAAGTGTAGTTCACAGCCAACACACTCACTTTATACTTATTTTGTAAAGATTCATATAAAAACTGTCCACAGTTTAAAAAATCAAGCCGAATTATTGATCATTCAAAAACCGTTCAAACTACGGTGTAAATCACAGAATAACCTAATGCGACAAAAAAATTGAGAAGAGTTCATTTAAACCCAGAAAAGTATTCGGCAGAAAACCTCTTTGGCTGACGTATCAAATGTAACTGAATTTGAAAATGAAAAAACCCTAGCCAAAATCCAGACTCTCCCTCGTCGTTCCTCGTCGAATAAAAATATGCAGCAAAATCATAAAATACAAGTCAACACTTTCTACGGTACATGGTAACCAGGGGAAAATTAATGCAAAACTTACCAAAAGCTGCATCGTGCCGCCTGGAAAGAAAGAACAAAATATGTTTAGTAACGCAGGATATTTGTTCCAAACAGAAAAGCATAAAACTTCAGTTGCTATTCGAAAAATTAAACTCAGTTCAAACTAGAGAATTTATAGATCAGAAAAAATCCTTACCGGCTTTCTGCAAGCTGGCGCCTTATCCTCCATGTTATACCCATCAATCGCCAAAAAGTCCACAAGGCACTAAAACTTACAATGAAAGTCCAGTGCGAATTGAAAACTTTAATCTTGCAGAATGCAGTCAGAATATACTACCACACTCGTAATTATATTTTTAACACTATACTTTTTATCTAAGAACCCGAATCTCACGACACAACGAAGGCGCGACCTGTTGGAAAGTAAAGCATTCACAAACCATGCCATGATTTGTGAATGCTTCACTTTGATTGCACTATTAAGAGCGACGGAACTTGATTTTCACACGAGTTCTCAGATCACACTTTTGCTCCATTTTTTGAAACTTTGAGTTCGTACAGCTTGATATGTTGTGCAAAAGTAGCATAAATGCCAAATTCACCTTCAGTCAGATCAGATGAATGTTTTTGTCTACTCGCATCATTACAAGCGACGGAATAATTAACTTGATCTTGATCTGAGCGAGATTCTGAATTTTAGAATTGAATTTGTTAAAGTGATGGATGAGTGAGCAAATTTAGTTTTAATAAAAACAGAAAATTTAAAAAAAATGTTTTATATTTAAAAAAACGCAGTTAAAGGCTCTATCCCTAGATGACAACTAAAGCTTTATTGATTTAATGAGCCAAAAACTAACAGCATTATTAAAAACCCGCAGTAATTTTGGATTATTACTCTTTCCGAGAAACCTGAAAACATTTGTAGAATAATATATTATATGAGCCGTTTTCTTTGGAAGTGGAGTACGTGTATTTTATTTAATATGGAGATATTTCAGGTTTTGCATTTGAATAATTAAAAAATATATTTATTATTATTACACTGGCTTAAAGAACTTGCAGGTCTTTCAGACCAATGCAAAACGATATTTTTCCATTCACCAATACTTAATACAACGCCACCAACAGCGAACTGAGCTCAAAAATGGATGCATTCAAGCTCCTGATAATTGAAAGCTTGAGTCCGACCAAGAATTACCTACCATCAAATATATTCAGCTGGCCCGCAACGTGATTAAATGTAACCGTTTTATGAAACGACTCAATATATTCAAACGCCTTATAAACTTTTTGAAATAAAATATTGGTTTCGGGATTGTTGGTTTAAAAAAATCGACTGAAAAAAGTTCATTTTATTTCAACACAAATCATAATTTTTGAATTCCTACGAATATATTCTATCAAGCTATAACAAGAATGATGCCTATAAAATATGTAATGCCCGATTTAAAATAACTTCAAATCATTTCGAACAATGCTGTCCCTACGGAACAGGAGATTTCAGTACAAAAATAATATTTAACAAGCTCTAATTATAAGTAATAATTAGTCGACACTTGCAAGACAGAGACAAGTGCGACTGGGAATATAAACCTGAACCGAGTGACTTCTTCCGCAATATCCATCATTTTGGACAGGCACCGGAATCGAAGCATCAATTCTGTTGAATCCTCCAAATCTGCTTTCATCAGAATTCATCACAATCTTGACAGTCCCAGCTTTTTCAATGCCCACTTTGTAATCGGGGAAACTTTTGGTAGGGTGAAAATTAAATGCAAAGAGGCAACCAGCTCTTTCAAAAACGATAATTTTATCATCTTCGTGTTTAAGACTCACATACGCAGGGCCAGCAGCAAGCCATCCATACCTATAATGACAAAATGAAAATAATTGCCAGTTTATAAGGAAAGTGGTGTAACTTACTTTTTCTCAGTTTCGTTCATTGCTTGATCCCAATTATTTAACCATTTGTACTTTAATAATTCGTTATCGACTAAATTCCACTGTCTTCTGGCGTAATGGTATGAACTGTTATTACCTTCTCTTGGAAAATCCAGCCATTCTGGATGGCCGAATTCGTTGCCCATAAAGTTAAGCCAAGCTTCGCCTCCGAGGGCGTGAGTAATGAAGCGAATCATTTTATGTAGAGCGATTCCACGATCAATAATAGCTGATGGTGGCGAAGTGATGCTCATATGAGAATACATTTCCTTGTCCATAAGCCAGAAAGCTATTGTTTTATCTCCCACAAGTGCTTGGTCATGTGATTCCGCATAGGCCACATTAGCTTCCATCCAACGTCGATTGGTCAAGGTATGGACAATGTTACCTACATTATAACCCTAATGCTACTCGCAACTCGATAATATGCAGATAATCTTACCCATATTCCAATCTTCATCTTTGCATTTTTTGAGCAGCTCAATCCACTTGTCCGGAATCGACATGGCAAGACGATAGTCAAAACCCAAACCTCCTTCATCAATTGGGCGGCAAGTACCAGGCATTCCGGACACATCTTCTCCAATAGTAATTCCATCCGGGTTAAAATGATGTACAGTGTAGTTTGCGAGCATTACATACACTACGCCTTCAGTATCAACATTTAAACCGAAGTATTCATCATAGTGACCACTGAATCCTTGGCCGATGCCTGCAAAAAGAGATTGGAACAAAGTCGCATCGGCGCTGGCAAACTCGACATTGATACCTCTGGAATGGTATAAAATTGATGTGCATCCATCAAATCTAAATCCATCAAAGCGATATTCTTCCATCCACCACCGGATATTTGAGAGCAAAAATCGCAGAACTTCATATTCACAATAATTGAATAGCTTCGAGTCCCACAAAGAATGAACACCACGACTCCCAGCGTGAAAAAAGCAAGAATCGGTGCCATCGAACATATTAAGTCCGTCCATAACATTCTTAGAAGCATGAGAGTGAACAACATCTAATAAAACGGTTAAACCATACTCGTGCGCTGTATCGACGAGCCGTTTTAAACCATCCGGATTACCGTATCTAGGCAAAAATTATCTTTCTGAACTTACACTTTTGTTTGATATGTCCGAAATTAGCTAACAATTTGCTGAAAATGTACGTGCGCCATACCTGCTTGAAGCAGCATAGAAACTGGTAACTTGATATCCAAAACTAGCATAATAAGCATGTTCCATGATGGCCATTACTTGAATAACATTGTAACCCTGTTTTACAATACGCGGAAGAATGTTGTCAGTGAAATTATCATAAGTGCCAACTCCATATTCAGATGTAGCGATACCCACATGACATTCATAAATTCGTAGGCTTTTTGGCTTTGGTGGGGCTTTGTGCTTAAATACATAGCGCTAAAAATGTCAGATAATATATTTTACAATCCACAGTTTAAAAAATCATGCATCTTATACGTTTTACTCAAAGTGGATGCTACTCTGTTCTTGGCGGGAAGCAAACATTGCAGAATATGAATGACTGAAGATAAATAAATGAACCAATCGAGGTTTGCATCGGTATATCGCTTGTTTTGCAAAATTTATCTGATATTATTTACCTGCTCTTGTGGTGGATTATAAAATAGTTGTTTATAAATGGTTCCTTCTGATTTTGGCGGTTCTACTACATATGGAGCATATGGTGAAAGTCTATCTTCCTTTTGATGATTTTGCGTTAACACAACAACCTAACACAAATATTTACACCAATGAAGCAAATTGAATTACACTGTCAGAAGCAAATTTTCTACCTTCACTTCTTGAAGATGTGAAATAGCGGGTTTTCCCTCGGCGTTTGCTGGCAGAACAATTTCCCATTTTCCAAATTCAAGTTTTGTATAAGGATGGCTATTTCGATCCCAATTGTCTAAAACGGCAATTATATAGAAATCCACATAAACTCCATTTAGCTTTGCAATAAAAAGATAACAGATTTTGTAGCTACTGATACTTACTAAAATCTCCAGTCAGAAAAAGCCCTAAGGCACTTGGCGCCCATTCTCTGCAGATTATAGAATTATCGGGCTGAACATGCATCCCATAGTACTTATATGCTTCAGTAAAATTGTCAAATCCATCCGCATTTGTTGAAATTTTATCAAGATGATCTTTGAATACACCATAACTGCAGGGAAACGCATACATAAAAAAGTCTAAATGTACATTATTTATATAGAACATTCAGACTATATCTATATTGGTTCTTCTATAAATACAATTGTATTTACATATATTTTTTTATTTCAGCTTGAATACTGATCATGTTGAAATAAAAAATATCTCGAATCGAAACATCGAAAGATATCTGTTCCAGTATTGACTAAAAATTATTTAAACGAAGTATACACGTATGTATTTAGAGGCTTTCTAATTTGCAGGAAACAATTTTGGAATTAGAGTCTTACGTAATATTATTTTTAATTTGCTTTCGATCGAAAAATATAAAACTAGTGATGTATAAACGTTTACAACGTTTTTCCAATTTGAAAATGTGCGTACAGCACACGACCTTCTGCTTCACGTAGAACAACTGATTAAAATCAATACAAATTGTACAGACATATTTTTGGAGGTGTTATATGAGGTTATTTAGAGAGTATCGATAATAAAACAGGAAAAATAATAAGAAAAACTCGGACATTCATATAAAATCCAATCATAAATTCGACAATAATGGTTTTAGTCGCACGTGCAACGTGCAACCGTCAAGTGCTGCTGTTCTCATGAATATTGCGTAAATATCTTTAGCTTTATGCGTACGTAAAAAAAACTAACAGGTGAAACGAGAAGGAGAATGACAAAAGTTTTATTTTTGACATTAACTGATTAAAGTTTATTGCTAACAATTTGAATTTTGGAAAACAGATTAGACCATCAGTTTCTGGCTCTATTTGCTTTAATTGCACAAATCCAAGGGCGGATCCAGGGGGGGTCATGGGGGTCATGACCCTCTCCCCCCCCCATTCAATTCTCTATCCAACGATGCCAAAATCGAAATCTCTGGCTCGAATGGTTCTTGAGAAACTTCGAAGAAAGCAGCGTCATGTTCAAGTGGATTTTGCAACTCAAAGAAAACCACGCAAATCTAAAACTTCTTGAATTCAAGCATTTTTTGAGAAAACTGCCAACATTTCCAGTGCTTCCATGGTTCACTTTCTGAAAAGGCCATTTATTTCAGTATAGAATGATGTACAAACGAGCGTCCTTGTTCATTTTGCCTCCGAGAAATGAGCCAAAACGGGACGGAAAACATGAAATTTTGACATAATCTTGCACCTAAGTGTCTGATATTCAAATTTCGTTTTCTGGGTCAAAACTACTCGAATTTCCTCACTCACGTTGTTACAACTGAATCGACTTTTCAATTCTCTATCCAACGATGCCAAAACGAGTACAAATGAACGTTCTTGCTCATTTTGTCTCCGAGATATGAGCAAAAACGGGACAGAAAACATGGAATTTTGGCATAATCTTGCACCGAAGAGTCCGATATTCAAATTTCGCTTTCTGGGTCAAAACTACTCAAATTTCCTCACTCACGTTGTTACGACTGAATGGACTTTTCAATTCTCTATCCAACGATGCCAAAACGAATTCTGTGGCTCGAATGGTTCTTGAGAAACTTCGAA